CCCCAAAACCCCAAAACCCCTAATTTAAATATTGCTTTTAAACATTTGAAAAGATAATAAAAAATAATTTAATACAAAATAATTTAGCGATTTTTATCATTTTTATAAAGCTTTAGTAATCTATAATTTGTTTTTCTTCACTGTTAATAAGCTACTAATAGAGTTGGTGCTTCTATCTTATCTTTTACTAAGTTAATTTCGTAAATTTCTAATGCCTTTCAATTCCATAGGAGTCATAGATTATTTTGGAATTAAATCCATTTAAGATTGATATTTCGACTAAATCTGTCTATCAATTGAAGGTAGATTCACATGTGATTAACTTAAATTCTATAATTCAAAAGCACTATTATCCATCCTACTTGAACCATCAATATAAGAGTAATCTTATAGCTAGATTTAGGAAATATCCAAATCAAAGTTGAGATTGAATTATTGATTATTGATCCTTTCATTTGATTAATCAATAATCTAGTTAATAGAATTATAGTTGGTAATTATTCTATGCGTCCTATCAACACTTTTATGCTTAGAAAGAACTGACTTAGATAAATTCTAATTACTTATTCTATCATCATTGCTTTGATAGTTATTCCTACTGCTTTTATCAAGATTTATCCTGAGCATGCTATTGATTCTATTCTTTTATAATATTCTCTAGGAGTATTCATATTAAAGGGGTTTAGAAGAAGTTTATTATGATTGCTGATATTGAGAGAGATCAACTGTTATTGAATCATCATAAGATTTTGTTATTTCATCATTTTATAATTTCCCATCCTTTTGGAGTTTTTTTTTCTCTTTTAAAACAGTTCCTTAGACAGGCTTAATGTTTTTACTAGGTAAAGCATTTTCAAATTAATTTTGATTTAGAATGAATTCTTTGCTCATCTTATTTAAAACTGTCTTAGTATTATTGAGACTATCTTTATTCAAATTGTAAACTAATACCTATTGCTACTAATTCCCACCTTTACCAGACTCAAATGTTGTAGTTATAACGTGACTTCTTCCTTGATCAATGCTAAAATTAGATCTATTAATGTTTTGAATTTTAGCTTATTGCATGATAAATTTGTATTTTGTTGAAAATTTATTGATACTATCTTTTTATATTCTAATACTTGGCGTGCTCTCATCCTTAAGTGGTCGCAAAATTGGCTATCTTACTGCCAATGGCTTACCTTCAAAGTCAAATGTAAGATTTCCATCTCCTCTGATTTAAGTCAAGAATTTGCTTTTAAACTCTTAACCTTTTACCTGTAAATCAATCTCATATTATTCTAGAATTTATTTTGCTTTTTGTTCTGTCTGCTATTAAATTCTTTCATTGAGTATCATATTTTCTCTTATTGCTTCAATTTTATTAGATATCAATTGCTCCTCTTCGTTTTAGTCAAATTTTTAATCTAGTTCAAGCTTTTACGCTATTGGTTTCACTTCTTGAATTTGCTAGATTTCATCTATTACTTCAAATGATTGATCCTTATTTTCCTAGCCATACTATGATTGTTAGCTCTATAAAGCTATTCTCTTTTTTCTTATACCAGCTAACTTATTAACTGTTCTTATGAGTTGAACATTGAGAGTGGACTTATAAGATGAAATCTTGCTTAAATCTAATTGTTATAAGTCATAATCGTCCATTATTTGATGTCTTTCTCTTATAACAAGAGGTTTAGTATCTCTAAGAGGTGTATAAATATCTGGAGAAGCTGCTACCTAAAAAATTTTAAGAGCAGATTTATTCATACTGCTTCTTCTGTATCTAGATCTGCTTAATCCGAGATTATCTTGGAAACAAATGTTTGATGCCTCAATTAATTGAATTAGACTATCTCAATAGCAATTTGAAATGCTCTCATGATCTAAAAATCTTCCCTCAAAGGATCTAATAGTAAAACCTCAATCTATTTGTTCAATCTATTTTGAATGAGATCTTTTGATATGAATTAGTAGATGACTTCAAATGATAAATGAGTATTTGATGCTGATTAAATTTTATCCATTTTATTTTAATCTTCGATTTATACATTTTAATAGTTCTCGGGGTTTTGGGGTTTTGGGGTTTTGGGGTTTTGGGGTTTTGGGG